CGGGTCTCGAACCCACGGGCTCAGGCAATCCACTCACCTCAGCCTCCCAAAGGTGCGGGATTACAGGCTGAGCCACCGAGCCCGGCTTCATTGAACTCTTAAAGGCTTTTTGCAAAGTGAATCTGTGCATTGTTGACAGTCAACATAAGTATTTTTAAATTGTTTATTTGATGGCCTTATTGCATATGACTAAGGGTGCAGGCTTGGTCATCAATGTATGTGGATTTGAATCCAATCCCAGTGCCATCATAGAGTTGAGCTTCCTAGGTTCAGATCTTGGCACTACTGTCTAAACTCCTTGGGTTCCACTTTTGGCTCTGACACTTTCACCTGAGTGAACTTGAGCAAGTTGGCAAAATGTACTGTATCACTCTTCATCTGTAAAACGGAGGAAATAATAGCTCCTACCTCACAGGGATTTTATGAGTCTCTGGAGTTATACCTCTCACTTTGTACCTACCTTATAGAATTATTGTGATGATACTACAGGGCACATAAGCACTCAATAAAATATTATTGTTATTGTAGATATTATTGCAAATCTTTATTTCTGTAATCAGTCACAAGGATTCTGGCCCCTGACTTAGCCTTTTCGTTTTTTGGTCCAGCGGAAGTCTTATTGATTCCACCTTGCCTTTCACTTGTAGCTCTCTCTATCCACCCTGTGTTTGTCCTGTCATTTCGCCTTGCGTCATTCGCTCATTTTCCACTGCATACTCCTCAGGGCAGGGACTTTGCTCTTTGTTTTGGCATAATTTAATAACACTGGGTACACTCATGGGACTATAAAAATGTCAAAGAAGAAAAAGAAAAAGGATGTAATTTACCAAGGGGCAACTTTGTCTGACAGCGGGTCGGCCCCCTGTTCCCTTTGCAGTGTTGGTACTCAGCACAGGCCGCCCAGCAGCCTCGAGGGGCGTGGCTGCGGGCCCTTGCTGACACGCGCGCGCGTCCTGCGCGGCCACTGGGCTGTGCGCCGCGCGCGGGGAGCATGAGCCGGGTGGTGGCGCGCAGGGAGCACTGCGGAAGGCTGCCGCCTCGGGACGCCGCACTCACACAGGTTTGGTGCTGATTTTTTTGCTTGCCAACTTTGTTAGAGAGACCGGGCGAGTGAACAAGAGGAACTTGGAGGGCAAAGTGAAAAAGACATGTAGCAAAGAACTGACAAAGGAGGGGCGAGGGAGGGATTCATCAAGGAGGGAGGCTGTGGCAGCCCTTGCTTTAAAGAAACGTTTCATGCATGCTAGCTAGTGCTACACAGGCTGTGGTCTTGTTTCTGGATTTTTTCCAAATGGGAGGAATGTGTTACGTGGATGCAAAATATTCTTTAAAACTGTATGACCAAACTGACCTTTAATGTCAAAGTGATCTAACTGAAAGCGTTGGTGTTTCCAACGTTGCTCTGTGAATGCCCCAAAAGCCATCAAATGGCAGAGAGCACTAGAAACTGGAGCTGTTTTATTGCAGTCCTGAGAACACAGTCATGACTATGTTATTCCTTTTTGTCTTTTGAAGCAATTCTTTAGTAACAGTCACTTTTAAAACAAGTATCTGACACCTCGTTGGTGTGTGCCACTACGCTGCATTTCATTATTCTTTTTGGACAGAGGAGTTCATATTGATGATGTATCTATTTCAACTTTTTATTTTAAAATAATTAAGGATTCACAGGCACTTGCAAAGGCAGCACAGGGAGACCACATAGCCTTTCACCCAGTTACCTCCAGTGATTATACCTGATATACTTTTAGTAAATATGAAACCCAGGAAATTGACATTGGAACAATGTGCATGTATATAGTTTCTATGGCATTTTGTCATGTGTTGATTTATGCAGCCACCACCACCACAATCAAGACACAGGATTTCCACGGCCACAAAGATCTCCCTTGTGTTACCTCTTCGTTGTTATTCCCATCTCCTCCTCCCCACCCCTGGCAGCCACATGTTTTCTATCTCTGTATTTTTATTATGCTGAGAATGTTGCATAAATGGAATCACATTGTATGTGATCTTTTTGAGACTGATTTTTTTTTTTACTCAACGTAATGCTCTTGAGATCCATTCAAGTTGTTGTGTAGATCAATAGTTTGGTTCTGTTTACTGCCAAGTAGTATTCTAGTTGCTTGGTTCTGTCTAGTGGTATGGTTTGTTTTTTTTTTTAAATTAATGGATATATTTAACTGGAACTTCAGTGGGATTAAAGAAGTGCTGAGGGTACTTAGTAAGTGAAAAGTGTGAGGACAAAATTAGAATAAATTTTTCTTTTCAAAATGACTTTTGTGTGTGATAGGACAAAAGGATGTATATACCACATGTTCATTTAAAACAGAGATCACTTGAGGATTTGACAGAAGAAACAGGAGGAAAGAAAAAATTATATATTGACAATAAGTTATAAAATTTGGAACTTTGAACAGTTTTCACCCATATGGAAATCTATTCTGTGAATTTGCCTTTAGCTAAGATATCTCAGATTTGCTTAAATTAATAAAAACGATGCCTCTACAATAGATAATTTTCTGCCTTTCTGTGCTCAGACACATACTGACAACTGGGAATGACAATAAGTAGCTCTTGGGGTTGACAGGGGTCACCTAGAGCATCTTTAGCCCAAGGGCATTCATCAAGGACAGGATTTTCAGGTTCAGAGACTGTCAGTGTTATACTACTCTGACCTTCTGCCCCACCTGCTGGTGGGAGGAACAGCCCACAGAGGTCTCTTCAAGCCAGGTTTTAGAATAAGATGTCATTCCTTACCTGCATAAGAAATCTGGGAAGTGGAGGCTGCAGCTAGTGAAGGGAAAGGTTTCACTTCTGAATAGCAGTACCTAGAGAAGTTAGGCCAGGCTCCTCCCTTCAGCCAGCACTAATTGGAGAGCTCCCTTCATCCCACTCCCAATCCACAAGCAGAGGAGAGAGCAAAATATCCACTACTGCCTGAGAGCATTTGTAAATTCCCTTCTGAGTTTTTAGAATTTCACGTTCTGGACTTTCAGAGACATATTGTCAACTCACAGAATAAGACAAACTGTCACTCTGGAGTACTGACTAGTCTTACATCGAACTGAATGTTCTGCTCCTAAGTTTCCATTTTAATGTTTTCTGCTACCAAACAAATATTCTTTGTCCTAAACCTCGTGAGAGGATGGAGGGTAGGCGGAAATGGTGGCTCCAAAGTCTAAACTTGAGGGACCATTACAGCTAAAATAAGGTATAACTCCTTTTATAGGCACATCTGCTTTTCTGAAAATTTTGAAATGGAATAAAAATCATTTGTACTGTCTTTATGATTTATTTTATTTTGAGTAAACATTAGATACCTCATGTCACTTTGCAGGTTGATCTTCTGGTTCATAGCTCCTATGTGTGTGAACAGGGCAGATAACGTAGTCCTATAATCTTGAGGGAGTGAACACTTTGCTGTACACCAGGGGACTGAACAAAAGGCGCATCGAACTTTGTTTACCTCTCTTCGGTTATGCCGTTTACTTATTTGACTAATGATGACAGTCATTTGGAAGGTGTGATAGGAAATGTAAATACATTGACTAAGGTTCTCAGCATTGCAGTTGTTGTTTTCTTAAGGGGTGATGGGAGGTTGTTTTCTGATTTTTAAGAGCTTTTTCTTTAAAGGGAAGAAGTAGAATTTTTGAAAAAAAAATAGAAATGTCTCATGTACTATATCAATGTAGACAAAAATCAAGCATTAGTTGCTTAATTACCTTTAAGCTATTTTGTAATGCTACAGCAATCTCCACACTTTAAAGAATGAAAACAAATATAATGCTTTACATTATTCTTTACACCAAAATTACTTAAAATTCAAACTCCTTAACCTGGTAGTCAATGTCAGCCTCAGGCAAACTCTACACAAACATACTATTTCAGCTAAAGTTAAACTTTTGTTTGATATTACTGGGTTAAACTTTTGATCTCATTTCTCTTACCTGGATCCCCTTTTCTCTCTGAAGTCACACCATTCTTCCTACACAACACCTGCTCTCCTTTGCCCCAGCTCTATGTTGAGCTCTCAGTCTAGTTCCATATGTCTTGGAGACAGGGATTCTGCCTTATGAATTGTATTCAACTCTAGTAGTAACCGATGGTGATGAAATGTCGTTAGGAGCTGAACTTTGAAGTCAGACATGGGGATGTGAGTTTGGGCTCAGCCAGTACTTCATTAGCTTTGGTCTCTGGGTAAGTTACTCAATCCCTCTAAGTATAAGTTGCCACACTTGTAAAATAGAAACAATATTTCCTACCCTAAAGGTGAGGATGTTACTGATATCATACATGTGAGGTGCTTGGCACAATGTAAAGTCTCAGTAAAAAGTATTGTTATTATAAGTAATCTGATTATTACTAATAGAGAACTTTTAAAAATGACATTTAGGCTTTACAAAATCAATAGATTTATGATCTGAGTGAAGGATGTTGATCACAAAACTTGATTGTTTAGGCTTCTCTGTGTCTCTGAAGCCTAGTTGCTATCATAAGAGGGATAGGGACTCTACCAACCAGGAAGAGAAAATCTCTGGTTGCCCACCCACTGATTAGACACAAACAGATGAAGACAGAAAGATTCTTCCCTTCTTATGTTTAATAAAAAATATATGTGGCTTGGCACAGATTTATTTTTGGTATGAGATAGTCAAATGATAGATGAATCTCTATAAAGAAGAGAACAGATGCTAGATATTGGCTTCAAAAAGTAATTAAAATAGCTGCATGATGAGTCATCTATCTTTGAAGTTATTTACATATACAACCTGTAACCTTAGACAAGTAAAAACTTCAATGAACGAACTGGTTGTTTGAATGACACAATGTCAAATTATTAGGTTGTCTGATATTCCCCTACAAGTTGGTTGATGTTTCACTGAAGCATAGTTTCAGTTAAACTCAAGGATATAACTGTGAGTGCTCTCTTGGTCACACTAATATCTAAGTAAACCTCTTTTGTGTTTTGAATTACAGATCTACAAGTGATTTGTTTAGACCACAGCATACAATTTCAAACAGAACAGCAATACTTTAAAGGAATAACAAAGTAGAATGGGTTTGGAATAAGCAGTGTAGTCACAGATTCTAACTTAATCCTATTTCTGGAGCTACATCTTAAATAATTATTCTCTAATAAGTGATTGGAACCCTCTCTGTACATGTGTGTTAAAATAACACCCTCCCCAAGATGTCCACAACATTCTAATTATGGGGTAGGAATTGGATATGCATAAATTTCATGATCTTATGTGCAGAAGAATCCTAAAAAGGCTGCAAAAAATAAAAAAATGTTGAAATTAATTTAAAAATTCAATACAATTGCAGGATACAAAATTAACATACAGAATCAGTTGTTTTTCTATACATTAACAGTGAACTATCCCAAAAGGAAATTAATAAAATCCCATTTCTAATAGTACCCAAAATAATGAAATACTTAGGAATAAACTTAAAGATGTAAAAGACTTGTGCTATGAAAACTATAAAACATTGATATAAGAAATTAAATAAGGCAAACAAGTGGAAACATATCTTGTATTCATAGATTAAAAGATTTAATATTGAGATTTTGGTGGAGATTTAATGCTATCTCCATCCAAATCTCAGTAATTTTTTACAGAAATAGAAAAGGCAATCCTAAAATTCATATGGAATCACAGAAGACTCAAAATAGCCAAAGTGATCTTGAGAAAAAAAGAACAAAACTGGAGGCATTACACTTTCTGATTTCAAAATATGTTACAAAGCTACAGTAATCAAAGCAGTATAATACTGGCATCAAGACAGTCATAGATCAATGGAACAGAATAGAGAGCCCTGAATTAAAACCCACATGTACTGTCAATTGATCTTCAATAAGAGTACCAAGAACACACAATAGGGAAAAGAGAGTTTCTTCCACAAATGATATTGGGAAAACTTTATATACACATACTATAGAGCAAAAGTGGACCTCTCTCTTACACCATACACAAAAAGAAACTCAAAATGGATTAAAAACTTGCACATAAGACTTGAAACTGTAAAGCTCCTAGAAGAAAATACAGGGAAAAG